TGTCTCAATTCTATTGTTAGAATTGAGGGAAAACGTACCCCGAGCGAGGACGACGAGAGAACTGCCTCAACAAATTGTTGTGTCTTTTTCTTTACGTTTATATTGCTAAATTTATGAGTTTTTAGTGCAAACGATTATGTCAAGCAAGTTCTGATTTGAGTTGTGCTGAATTATTTTTAAGCCAATTACAATCATTGATTGTAATATAAAACTTGAGCACTCAACTCCCAAAATAGAATTCACTTGTAGTGCTCTGCACTCCAAGTGTTTGATCAATTGTGTGAACTAAAAACATCTTGTGCTGTCTTTTCAAATTGTCTATATTTTAAAGGCATTGGAACTAGTCACACCTTATAGTGAACACAATCTAATTTAAGTGTGATTGAAGTAGTGATTCTCATATCTCGTTTATCAAATTCCATAGGCTTTACGCATATCCAGTTTTCTAGTAACCGTTCGTTTTAGACGTGTATGGTTCCTCAGTCGCTTCCGCGTTAAACAATTTTAAAAACCAATTTTTGGTAGCGCCGACTCTGTTTTAAACAAGCGATCTATTCAACCCCCATTCTAGATCTGCGTCATCGTCTAACATGGTCGTTGTCTCACTCTGTGTTAGAGATAACCTCTGTGTGAGAGGTACATGATAATGTTGACGAGTGATTTAGGTCATGTACAACTGGGTAGTAAGTTTAAGTATTTGATAGGGTAGATGAAATGAAATCTTGAGAGTTCTCTACTCTCCAAAGAATGAATTATTTTTATGTTCATAAGTTTTATTTCCCGTATTTAATTTAAACTCATTTTAAACCCAAACTCAATAACATTTAAATTGTCAAACGACAGTTCAATAGCACTAATCTATGTGGACATGATAATTTTCCAGATAAATACTTATAAAAACTTTTGTTGTTTTCCGCTTTACTGCACCAACAGACGTCTTATTGTGTGAGGCATGATATTAAAATTCGTAATCTTCATGATACTCATTCAGCAACAAGATATGGACGCTCTCGTCTTGCAGAGAACCATGTCACACTAGAACATTACTTTAAAGTTGAAATATTCTTTTGCTATTATTGACGAACAATTACAAGAGTTGAATAATAGATTTAGTGAGCAAGCACTGAATTTGTTAACTCTAACTTGTGCTTTGAATTTTAAGAGTAGTTATAAATTTTTTAGTATTGATACTATTTGCACTCTAGTTAAAAAATATTATCATATGGATTTCAATGAACAAGAGAAAATTACTTTGCAATTCCAGTTTCAACAATTTTTTGTTGATTCCCGTCAATCAACAAATTTGAAGAATTTATCAACTATTAAAAAATTATGCTCGTATTTGCTTGCAACTAACAAGAATAAAATTTACTTCTTGGTTGGTAGACTACTCCGTCTTATCTTAACTCTTTCAGTTTCTACTGCCACAACTGAGAGATCTTTTTTGGTAATATAAATTATCAAGACTAAGTTGCGAAATAAGATGAAAGATCGGTTTCTAGCAGATAGCATGAATGTTTACATTGAAAGAGAAGTTAGTGCATGTATTAGTTCAGACTCTATCATTGATAATTTCAAGTCACTCAATACACGTAGAGTATTATTTTAAGGTATGTAATTCATTTTTTTTAGTAATCAACTTTGCGATTATTACGACTTAAATCTTTATATACAATACAAATTTTATATTTAACTTAAATATTATAGCTTATTTTAGTGGCCCACCCAAAAAAAAGTCCTGGATCCGCCACTGGTTAGAGTTGAAAATGAACCAAACCAACTCGAACATAGTTTGAAACTCGATTAGATAATTAAATTGTTGAACTTAGTTTATGAATCAAATGAGTTGAATATGAAAAAAATTTAAGTTCGTTAACTAAGTGAACTAAACTTAAACTATGTGTTGTTGGATTCGTTAACTAAGTCGAATATATAAAAGTAGTTTTAAAAACTTCCTTCAAATCTCAACCCTCTATTTTTTTCAATTTAATCATTTTAATTTATCATTTTTGGACAAAATATTTCTAAAAAAATTACAAATAAATCAACATTATTATTAAAATTCAATATTGAATAAAATAATTAGATCTAAATCATATATAGTGGTTAATGATTATTTTAGTACAAATTCCTCTAATCTAAAAAAAAAAAAAAAAGCTTAATGCATCCTTTGGTCCCTTAACTTAATTTCAAGTTTCACTTTAGTCCCTTATTTAATAAACGTTTGTTATAAGTCCCTTAAATGTCATTATGTTAGTCAAATTGGTCATGTCTGTTAAATTCTGTTAATTAATGTATGCGTGACACTCTAGCTAGTGCCAGGTTAGATGACGCATAATTGTTTTAATTGACATGTTATTTATAATTTATTAAAAATTATTTATTTGATAGAGAAATGAGTTTGAAGCAAATAACATTTCTCTTTTTCTCCTCCCTTCTCCAAAACCTTAGCCATTAGCTTCTTCTATCTTCTCCTTCTTAAACCACCATAACTAACCTTTGACCGTGAATCTTCCTGGAACAAACTCAAAGGATAAGGCCTTTTATTTTATTTCTTTTTTTGATTTCATCAATTAATTACTAATAATTTAAGAGTTTCTGATTTGAAATGTTTACATGCTAAAATTTATGGATTTTGCAGAGGTTTGTAAGCTTGCTGTTAAGTAGCTTACTAGTTGGGTATGTTTTATTCACTGAAAGTTTCCATCAGTCAAGTAGATCTACTGAAAATTTATGTGCCAAAAGCTTAAATTTTGTCATTCCTTTCTATTATATTGTTCTCTTGATAATAATTTGGTAATGACTAACAAATGCCTTTGCTGATAAATCTATTTGTCTAGTTTAATGTGTGTTTTTAAATTGCAGAAAATTGCAAAAAAAAGTCAAGTAGCAGAAAAGGAACAATATAATCTTTTACCAGTTATTGATTTTGTAGTCTAACGACATCCTCTATTTTTAAGCGGTCCACCAAGTGTTACTGACCTTTTGTTTTTTCCTTTTTTGATCTGTTTAAATTAAGGGTTAAATATGTTTTTAGTCCCTATAAATATGGTACCTTTCAAGTTTAGTCCCTACAAAAGTTTTCTTCAAACTTTGGCCCTCATAAAGTTTTTCGTCTCACAAAATGGCCACTCCCGTTAGTTTTCCCTAACGGAAGCTTATGTGTCATGTCACATGTAATTACAACTTTGATTACGTGTGATCTGTGTTATTTCAATTCGCCAACATGGAAAATGCAGATAAGAAAATCCTGTAAACGTTAGATAAGTCAAAAGAGGCCAGCTTGCCCTAGCAGAAGGTGCGCAACAGTAAATGAAGAAAGAGTATTGATTCAAACAAGTCTGGGAAGAATGAACATTCATTCGCGCAATTCATAGAAGGAATTTGTTTGTTTATTGTCGTCCCAGAGCGACATCTTTGGAGTGGTCCCAAAAAGAAGATACTGAGAAGGCGAACAAGTGGTCCCAGGTAAGATGCAACTGTCTCCTTTATGTTCCATAATTTGAATATCATATGCTTTCCTTTCTCAGTGGTCCTTTTCCTTATTTAATTTGTTATTCCGTTGTATATTAAGTCTTTGTTCGCCTATTATAGAAAAAATTAGGGTAAATCATTTTTACATTGAAATGGTAAAATTTAAACCTAGGTTATTTTGAGGTACATGAGGCTAGGATGCTCATGATCAAGGAGGTCAGCTTAGAGGCTTATGGGTGGTTAGAATTAATTCCTAAAATAATGCTGACATTTTTGGTGACATTTTTGGTGTTAATTTTGGCAAGAACAAGACTATTGAAGATGTTGCAATAGACTATGTTCAATTTTGGTTTTCATTTTGTTGCATAGAGCTTTATCAAGTGTCCAATGAAGAGAATTCATAATGTCCTTGTGAAAATTTGTAATAATGCTTGTGTAGATATTTTGTAGTTGTGTTTGTGTATATCTTATGTCATTTTCGAACATGTTTAATGTCATTTTAGTTTAGTGACTTTAGTTTGAATCAAATAATGTAACAAAATTTTAATTTAATGTCATTAAATTCAAAATTATGTTGATATAAATTCTGATATGATAAATAATAGATTATTGTCCGATAAAATGTTATAAAATTTTATTCGGTGATTTTCGCCATGCTATCATGCCACATCATCCAAACTTAATGTTTTTTCTCAATATTTAATTTTATTGGAAATTGTGTATTAAAATTAATACAAGATTATAACTAATAAATTTAGGGTAATGTTAACTTGTACCCTTGGGGCACATGTTAAGAACTAAATTAAAAAATATCATCTTGAAAATTGTGTACAAATTTAAATTAAAGTATAAAATTAATTTTTAAATTGTTTTTTTCAATACAAATTTACTAAAAGTGGTTTTCTTAACATGTGCCCCAAGGGCACAAGTTAACATTACCCATAAATTTATTATTTTTTCGATACAAATTTTTTATTTATAGGTTTTTTAACATGTGCCTCAAGGGCACAAGTTAACATTACCCTAATTTTTAAAACATTAAAATGTAACATTTATTAAATAAGAGATTAAAGTAAATTCTAAAATTAATTAAGTCAAAAATAAAAAAATAACTTTTAAATCTGTAAAATAATTCAGTTGATCTGAGTTCCTGAATTTTAAATAAATCAAATTTAAACTTAAAATAAATATCCATGGCAGGATATACTTAAGCTTTAAGCTAACAAAGCACTTGCCCATCCAAAATAGATAGAGCCACGTGGCATATCAACGAATGCAAAGACGAAAACGACAGAGGATCGGGGATGAGATGAGGTTCCGAAACAACGGGCCATAACGGCACACGATTCTTCCTGGTTTGGAAAACCAGACAAGAGTAGGTTTAATTTCTTCCTTCACATAATCTTTTCCCCCAATTAATCCATTAGTCAATAAGTCGATTAATTCCCTTTTCAATTCCATTCCACACCTTCTTCATCAATTCAATTACTATCATAAAAAATTCAAATAATCGAAAACTTTAAACCATGACCATGTCCACCCCTTTGTTAATACAACCCTGCCCCTTCCACTTCAAATGGAAGAATCAATTCGCTTTTTCTAATAATCGCGTTCACACACCTCACTCCTTCACGCCAATCACAAAACCACTTAACACAATCAAATCTCACTTAATCCACAAAACCCCGTCCTCAATAAGTTCCAATCCCAATCCCAATTCCAACTCCAAAAGCACTTTTGAGTCTCTCGTAACCTCTATATGGAACACGCTTCGAAAACCCGTGGTAGCCGCGATATTAATTGGGGTTTTGTTAATGTTCGGTCCGAACCCTGCCTTAGCAGCATCTGGCGGTAGAATGGGAGGAAGATCTTTCTCTTCTTCATCTTCGTCTTCATCTTCGTCGTATTCGTCTTCCTCGAGGAGCTATTCGGTTCCATCGCCGAGTCCAGGGTTTTCTTACTCTACTCCGTTTAGCGGCGGGGGTTACTATGGATCTACCGTTGGAGTTGGAGTACTTGGACTTGGTGCTGGTGCTGGCTCCAGTTTCTTTCTCATTCTTGTTGGTTTTGCCTCTTTTGTTTTGGTTTCTGGTTTTCTTTCTGATCGTTCTGAGGATAGTGTTCTCACTGCTGCTGGAAAAACCACCGTTCTCAAACTTCAGGTTTTATCTACTTTGTACATTTATTACACTATTTTAGCAGTTTGTTGATTCATGCATGAATTGTTTTGCCATGAATTGTCTTTTCATGTACCATTAGACTAGTATGTATACTTTTCACTTAATTTTGCCTACAATTTTGGCTTGAATTTCTGAACTAAAAGCTAATTATGAGATATATTACAGTAAAATAAAAGAGGGAAGAATAGAATGCTGATGTGGCAGAGGGTGAGGATAGTGTGTTACTTAACTTATGTGAGTTAGTTATATATGGGATGAGGGGTGAGAGGAAGAGTATCTTAGAGAATCATTGAGTTAGTTATGGACAGAGAGAATTATTCTCTGAAGGAGCTTGGCTCTGGGAGCATTAGGATATTCTTCCTTTTTGAAGTTGTTTTTTCATTTACAATGTTAAGAGTCCCACATCGGACAATCTTTGACCGGAACATGTGTTTATAAGTGAGGGCAGTCCTCACCTTACAAGTTGGTTTTGTATGGAGGAGTTAGGTCCAATCCAAATTCTGAGATGGTATCAGAGTCTCACCTTACAAGTTGGTTTTGTATTGAAAAGTGTATAAATAGAAGTATATTGCCAGCATTCCTTTTCTGACATCTTTTTTTGGTGAATTTCAATGGATGTGTTGTTCCTACAATACATTCTTGGGTTTTTTTTTTACCATCTGGATTGGATACAGTTTTTTTTGCCATCAAGCTATTAAGAACAAGAGCGTTTGTATAGAATAATGTGGTTTATCAGATTACTTTGATTTAGAAGGATGCAATAATTAGATTTAATGTTTGGCAAGTACTATAATTAGGCTGATGGGATTGAAAGGGCCATAGCATGTGCTGCATTCATTTATGCTCACACCTGCTGAAGGAAAGAAACAAGGCATTTTTTACTTCTTAACCAAACAGATTGACTTTCTCCGTTGCATGCACTATGCAACGTCAACATTGCAATGTTGCTTGCAGGATCATATGATTTACAATTTTTTGGGGCCTATCCATGCTGGGTTGCAAGCAAGATCACATTTGGTAAGATTAGAGTAGGATCGACAATCATGCGTGGGCAATCCAAAAAGGCCCAAGTTTTGAATCCAATTTCGTGACTCAGTTTGAAGGGCCCTTATTTCCTCTCTCAGTCTCGTGATCCCTCTTTGACTCTACACAAGTTCCCTGCCGTCTTTAGACGTTATTTCCATATATTTGTAGTGTTGTTTGGGAGTTATTCAGTAGTGTCTGGGAGGGACATACATTGGCTCTGCTGTAGGGTTCAGTGGAGATGTGGGCTCCAGTTTTTTACTCATCTAAGTCGGCTTCATAGCATTTATTTAGGCTTCTAAGTTTCTTTCAGATTGGTGTGGATAATGTACACACGACCAATGAGAAAACCACCATGCTCAAGCATCACTTATGGTTCGGTGAGATGCTAGCACTTGCATTTATAGTTCGGTGAGATGTGTGCTCTCATTAAATTTTGTCGGTATTTTTGCTTATCCAAAGTCAGGGAGGGGGTAATAGGCTAGGTTGGGCCGAGATTTGGTATACCTGGGTCTGTTTGGTGTCACAACGCAAACCTGCTTAAATGCCTATTTTACAATAAGACCTATTAATAATTCATAAGGCAATCACTAAATATGTTTATAGCCTCAACTCTACGGATTGATTAATATGCTTAAATCTTTAAATAAGTCAATAAGTATATGATTTTAACACTTATTAAACAACTAAATATTATGTATTAATATTACATTAGAGCATTGCTATTTGTTACAAATGTGTTAGACCTTAAGAATTACTAGGAATCAGAACAGAATGTGGCTGACCTATTCTGTCAGTTACAAGCATATGAGCAGCCTTATTAAATGTTATCTGTAACAACTAACAGTTAGAGAGTCTAAGAGCAGCCATTAGAATTATTAGAGTAACGATTATTATTATTAGGAGCAGTTACAAAACTTAGGTAGAATAAAAAGGGAAACAAAACCATGGTTTGGGGAGGCTGAAAATTAGAAGGAGTTTATATTTGGGAGGGAGAGACCAAGCTCTCGAATTCTTGGAAGGGAGAGAACCAAGACTCTTGAATTTCTTGGAAAATCATTGTAATTACTATTAAATTTTACTGTTTAATATCAGCTTCTATCAACTGGTATCAGAACACTTTTGATCCAGGAGAGGAAATATTAAAAAAAATAAAAAACAGAGAAAAAATGGAGCTGTCATCAAGAATGGAAGGAATGTTTGACCTTGTTGATGAAGTGTTGAAAGAAATTAGAGATTGGAGAAGAAAACTCAAAGAGTTAAGATTAGAAATACCAATCTTTGAAGGAAGGGATGTTGGTGGATGGATGTTCAAAGTTGAGAAATATTTTGATGCAGGAGGTGTATGTAAAGAAGAAGATCAAATACCAAAAATTGCACAGTGGATGCGTGGTAAAGTCCTCACATGGTACCACTTATGGATTTCGGTCAATCCAAGTTCCACTTGGGGAAATTTTAAAGATGCAATTCTCAAGGAATTTGGGTCAGAAACTGATTCAATAGAGGATCAACAACCAAATGAGAGGACACTACCAGAAAGGTTAGATCAACAACCTCCATTGTTAAAATCACCAGACATTGGCACCGGCACAATGGTGTTTACTGATATTCCTAAGATAAAGTTTGGTAACAAGAAATTTCGTCTGTTGATATCGCCATCGCCCAAACAACCGTTCACTAGAGGGCTGCTGGTAAGCAAGACAATTTGATCCAGGAGGATTTTTTATATTTCATGTACAGCTCAATCCTTCTGCTTCAAGTTATGGGATTTGGGAGGATATGTTTTCTTTCCAGCGTATTATCTTTCACCTTGAGGACAAGGTGATAGTTTAGGGGGGAGTATTGTTAGACCTTAGGAATTACTAGGAATCAAAACAGAATGTGGCTGACCTATTCTGTCAGTTACAAGCATATGAGCAGCCTTATTAAATGTTATCTGTAGTAGTTAGAGAGTCCAAGAGCAGCCATTAGTATTATTAGAGTAACAATTATTATTATTAGGAGCTGTTACAAAACTTAGTTAGAATAAAAAGGGAAACAAAACCATGTTTTGGGGAGGCTGAAAATTAGAAAGAGTTTATATTTGGGAGGGAGAGACCAAGCTCTCGAATTCTTGGAAGGAACCAGACTGGTCCTGTCATTTTGTTTGTGTGTTATTTCTCTATATTGAAATTCTGTAATTTTATTGTATAAAGAACCAGTTTCAATCAAAATGATACAAAAAAGAGAAGAATGTATAAAAATAGGATATTTGACCAATCATATGCTGGCTAATCATATACGCTGCAACATATCCTTCTTGCGTTACTTGTCAAACTTTACTTGTAACAATAAGCATTCTCCATTATATTATTTACATTTACTTTAATAGATTGTCATGTTAAGCCTAAAATTTTTGAATAACCCAAAGTTTGGTATGTTTAGCTAAATAGGCTTTTTAAATGTCTTAGTCTAAATAAGTTCGGCTTAGCCTAGGCTTGTTGAGGTAGACTAGGCTAAGAGGACCATTGACGGATGCCTTGGTTATTTTCATCCTTACTTGAAATCACGGTATTGCTACTTTTAATCTCACTAATGCATATAATATCCATATAAATTTTATGAATGAAAGGTTACTGGGTGGGTCCAATATTTGTTGCTATTTTAATTGGGTTTTGAAGCATGTTTGTCAATATCTTGTTAGCTTCCAATGCACAGCACAATCATTTATTTTTATTCACTATTTTGAATCTTTAAAATTTCAAATTATCAATAATAATGTTGTTCTTTTAGGTTGGGTTGTTGGGGATGGGTCGCACACTTCAAAGGGATCTGAATAGGATTGCAGAGGTTGCAGATACATCATCTTCAGAAGGTTTGAGTTACGTTTTGACAGGTGAAGCTCATAAACATGTGATTTTTAGTCACTTGTCTTTAGTTATTTCTTTTTTTCCTAACTGTGTGATATTTCTTCATGATTTACTGAAAATGGTTTAATGCTTTCAGTGTTTTTTGTAATAAAGGATTGTTAATGACAAAAAGTTATTGCTTTATGATCCAGTGTAAGCTATCATGGTTCTTTTATTGTCAATGTAGTGCAGATGCATGTAGAAAATGATTAGAGTCAAATCTGTTGTTACGGAAATATAGAAAATATTGAAAAGAAGTATTTACGATAAATATTGAATTACTTATGATTGTTATAGCAATTAATAATATAGCTGGAAGCAACATGGTTGTACGTACTACTTTCTGATTTAATTTGACTTTCTGTTGCAGAGACCACATTAGCTTTGCTTCGGCATCCTGATTACTGTATCTCAGGATATTCGTCGGTAAGTGGTTTTAATCTCTGAGAGCTGTTCATTGGTTTCTTGAGAATACTGCATACAACTTAGTGATATTGTGCTGTGATTATTGTTTTTTATTGATTGTTGGCAACTTGATATTTAATGTATAGTACCAATTCAACTATATTGCGGGAATAGATGAGGTCTTGTGACATATCATCTCCGCATAAATATTCTAGATTTTTTTGCTCAGTTAAAAGAGAGTATTGAAATGGCTTAATAAAATTCAATGGTGCTATATTTTTTGTACCTTTTTGTTTTTGAGAAAATTCAAGCTTAATGTTGTAAGAGTAGTATTTTCTGTCCTAAAAGGTACTCCATCCGATCAGTGTTGTCGATGGTGGATGGCAGTCCATGGAAGAGAGCTAAAATCCCGCAATAGCGGCCGCTTTGCAGCCCCGTTATAGCGGAAAAATCCGCAATATCGGCCGATATTTACCATTGTGGCGAGCCCAAAAACTGCCATGTATATCCACCATAGCGGCCATGGTGCTGCCATTCGATAACACTGCATCCGATTCCTTTTTAATTGTCGTTTTAAGGTTATTTACACTAAAAAACTAAGAATTGTTATTTTATTTTTGCTTTTGATGGAATTATTTGTTTTTGTTTCTCTTTCTGAAAATACCCTTAACCATTTATTATGTCACTCCTCTTATATGTCTCTCTGCAATAAATACTTAAGAATATTATTGACAAAACAATAATCAATGTTGCATTGGACTTTGAAAGCTACATAAAACTAGTAATTTTTTCTACAAAAAAGGGACAAGTAAAAAGAAATAGAGGGAGCAATGTAATACTTAACATTAATAGCTTAATGTTGTAAGAGAAGTATTATCTGTAAAAATAGCACATAACTTTAATAGCCTAATGTTGTAAGAGTAGTGTCGTGTCCTAAAAGTTGATACTTAAACTTTTATGTTTGCTGTTCATCATCAGGGAATTTTTTCCAAACTTGTAATTTAAATTAAATTATACTTTATTGTTGCAATAGAAATAAAGGAAAGCGAGTTTATGGAAAGTTGAAAACACATTTCCTGATATTTTGCAGGTAGACATAAAGCGGGGTATAGAAGATGGGGAGAAGCGTTTTAATCAACTTTCAATTGAAGAGCGAGGAAAGTTTGATGAAGAGACGCTGGTCAATGTTAACAACATAAAGAGGCAAAGCACGAGAAATCAGAGATCTAACGGGTTCAGCAATGAATACATAGTGGTATCATAACTTCTTTGGTGCTTGTTTTCAACACAATGTATACCTGTTTGTACTGTAGACTTGAGACTTAAAAACAACTTCGGAATTAAAAAGACAAGGAAATCATATATTAGCACAAGTTAACCTGTTCTAGACAGAAATTAAGCTTACGAGCAATCATCTTAGGTATCTCTTGCTGGTTCAACATCCAGGTTTTATTTCCCTATTGACATCAATATCTAAAAAAGAGTATGGTTTTCTATCCAAAAGAAAAATAATATATAGTAGAAGATATAGAGAATTGTTTAACTTATTAACTCGAATTTTTTAAACTTAAATATGTAATACAAGTAATCTTTATTTTCAGCTTCTTTGTCCCTTATCACTTGAGAAAGTGAAGTTCGACGCGGAAAGTTTGCATATCTTTCTTCTAACCTTTTTTGTTCTTATGTATCAGATAACAATCTTGGCAGCGGCTGAAGGAGAACTTAAACTTCCTAGCATCAATGGAAGTGGAAACTTGAAAGAAGCTTTACAAAAACTCGGATCCATTCCTTCAAGCAAATTATTAGTAAGATCAATAATACTTTGCGAGTCCTCTGTCATATATTGTTAGTACCTTTTCTTTTTAAACGGTTACTATAATTACTCGCAGGCAGTTGAGGTGTTATGGACTCCACAAAATGAGAACGATACTCTCTCAGAACGGGAGTTACTCGAAGATTACCCACTTTTGCGGCCTTTGTAAATTGTAACGGTATGCTTGCATTCTGCTTCCAGGCTTCCACTGTTATTACTTGAATTGGGTTGTGAATTGTGATTGTGTAGCTGAGGATTATCTGTGATAATGGTAATACTGAAATAATAACATTAAAACCATTGATGTTATCCTGCTACTCAATCTCCATGGTAATAAACAGCTGCGGCTAATATCAGTATGACAGTGTTTTACTATTAAAGGTTCTTAATCATTGTTTATATTAGTTGTACATATTACACATTAGGATATTCTATTAAGAATTTGTATCATATAGATGATTATTTTGTTGCCTTAATTTGAAATAGTTTGTCATTCTATTTTGAAATTTCTCTGCTGTTAAATTTGGTGGATTTTAGAGTGTTTGTTTGCGCATTATTGGTATACAAGATAAAAATTAAAATAGAATATCAATGTATTTTTTTTGTGTTATGTGTTCATTGAAGCTTACATCTAGCTTGGAGAATTATTAGTCAAATATATATTTTTAATAATATTTATTACTATTTACTATATTTATTATTGGTTCATCTATTATAAAGTCTTGTTCTTGTGAATGAATTGCTTTTAAAAAAACGTTTTGATTTGAAAAAAAAGAAGATAAAAGGTGCGTTTTTTTTTTCCGAGAATAAAGTATTTTTTATAAAGCTCAAAAATAATGTTGGCAGTTACAAGTTTGAATAATATGATAAAGTAGAGAACAAACATAAAATGTGACATTCAAAAAGACATAAAGATGTGGCTACCACGCATATGTATGAGCCTACCACGCATATGTATGAGCAACCAAAATCAAAGAACGCCAAGGAGTTCAGAAATTTAAACATTTGATAGAATTGATCCACCAATGATTAAGATCACACTAAGAGCATCTTTAGTGTAGGTTCTGTAGTATTAAATTCTTTAATAGTAATGGTAGTTATAAGTAATTTGCATTGGAATAAGAATGACATGACAGTAAGTGAATTAACAATTAGTGGGAGTAAATTATATAACTAACTCATACTATCCATTTTCAATGACTCTTATTATTATTTTATTATTGTTTTATATTATTAAAATATCAATAAAGCTCTAACAACTATAAAATGTGGGGTCAAATTTTGATTTTTTACAAGCAACCATCATTAAAGTAAAAACAACTCAAATCAACTATAAATATTTTAAATCCTACAAATCACTTTGTGCCCACAAAAAGTATCTTAGTTTACCCATTTAGTTTACTCCTATTAAAGATGCTTTAGAGTAAGTTGAATTTGGCCTTATAAGTTTGTCAAGTACCCTTTCTCTTTCACAATATTTGTCTTTCTTTTTATTTTTATTTTTATTTTTTATTTTTTTATTATTTTAAATTATGTCATTTTAGAATATCTATCTGATATTTATTATTTTTTTTACTAATTTATTCTTATTTACTCTTATTTATTGTATTTTAAATCTTGTAATAACTCTATTATATATTATTAATAAAAATTATTTTTGTAAATGATATTTGTTTCATTATTGAAATCAATATAACTAATCATTATTTTTAAGTGTGAAAATTTCAAAAAGGACACCTAGTGTGAGACAGGTAGTATGAATTTTTGCATGATCGTTAATTTGAGATGAAGAATATTGGAATGTCGAGTAGTAATATGAGTGAAGGTGTATGGTAGGTTAGTTATGGCGCATGTTAACGTAGTTAGTGTTTACATGTAGTAGAGTGTAATTAACTTCACTCTTGTATATGTAGACACAAGTCATAACCATTTGAGGGGTGAGATTAATACATATGAATCAAGTAAAGTTTGATCTTCTCAATAAATATTCATATTCTCTTCAATGCGTGATCATGTTCATCAATGGAGATTCAATTCTCTCATCTAACTTGGTATCAATCGCCTAAGAGACCAATCCTTCTGTTGCACACATATCGTACCTTTGCTATCATCATTTCAACATTTTCACAAGTTTCAGAGAAATTGTGATCGTCCCCTTCGTTCAACAACAAGATTTGCACTCTGGTTGAAGAATTCAAGTTCAGAGAAACTGAATTGCATCAAGGCAAAGGTGTGCTCGTGTTCTTCGCATTGATCTTTAGCTTCAAAGAAGCGGGTTTCCTCTAAGATTCAGTGTTAGATCTCCATAGTTTCATAGAAACTATGGCGAACATTGAAAATCTCTCACAAAATTTTTCGACGGAAAATTAAGAATCACAAGTTACCATGAAAGTCGTGGAGTTTTCAAGCTCCACTAACACTTTTTCTCCGAAGCTCTCTATCAAACTTCAAGAGAAGAATTCTTGTTGTGGAATCAACAAGTTGAAGGAATGATTCTTTCACATAAGCTACACAAAATGGTTGTCAATCCTCGCATACCACCAATGTTCAAGTCTGAAAGTGATCATCTTGAGACTATTATTTTTGAAGCATATGAGAAATGGATAGTGCAGGATCAAACACTCTTCACGTGGTTGTTGTCTACAACTTTTGAATCAATTATACCCTGACTGCTTTCATGCAAACATGCATATGAGATATGGGATAAGGTGCACAAGCACTACAATGCACATATGAAAGAAAGAGTGCACCAAATGTGAGCTGAAGTGAAAATGATCAAGAAAGGTACTCAATCCATTTCTGAGTTTGTGTTTCACATTAGATATATTGTTGATTCATTCCTAGCCATTGGTGATCCAATATCTGAACGTGATCAAATATATGTGATTCTTCAAGGGCTTCCTGAGGAATACAATCCATTTATCAATGATGGCATACAACAAAACTGAGCCAATGGACATCTATGAGGTGGAAGGCTTGTTTTATTTTCAAGAAGCTCAATTTGACAAGTATCATCAAGAACTTGTTGCACCAAGTACCACGACCAATGTTGTTCAAGGACCAGGTCATCATCATCATGCAACCACAAACTTAAGTAGCTCAGGGTATCATGCAAGAGGCAGAGGCAAGCCAGGTCGAGGAAGGGGTAAAAGCAGGTCCAACAATACAACTGGGAATCAACCAACATGCCAACTATGCAACAAATATGGCCATTCAGTGATGGAATGTTGGCACAAATTTGATGAGAATTTTGAACCTTCAGCACCCAAGACCCAAAATCAAGCTGCTACCTCTCATAATTGTTGAAAGTATAGTAGGTGGATAATAATTTTATCATCTCCACAGGGATTATAGTGATTGTTACACCCTAAAATTTGCCCTCGCCTTTTTAACCTTAACTGGTTTTTGCTTTGCGTTCATCTGCATCATCATTAGGTTATAATTCATGATCATACTTTGCATGGGATCAGGGGTTTCTATGAATCAAATCATCAGGTATCAGGTTTAATCTCTTCGAGAATTTTCAGATATCAAGAGCCAAAGATTTTCACCATTAGCCTTTCATGTCCTATTTTCATCATATTATACATTGTTCTAGGGCATATCGAGCAAGCGGGTTTACAAATTAAGGATTGGCTCATTTTGTTGTTTTCCATTCCAAATGAGAGAAATTGCCTATCATGGGCTACATTGAAGAAAGCTTCATCATCTAAGGTTTGATTCAAGTTGAAAAATTTACTCATGTATATTTCTTCAAGGAGAAGTTACTTGAAAATATTAGGATATTCAAGATCAATATTCCTAATGAACATGAAGTGCAACGCCTAATTCAAGATTTCTTCATCTAACTTTGTTTCAAATTCTATGTTCGAGTGGAATTCAAATTTGTAAGACATGAGTCAAGATCACAAGTTCATAATTCAAGACTTCATCCATTTCAAATTCAATGGCATAAGGGAGATCCATCATTCCAAATTCAAGATTCATGAATTCAAGATTATTACAAAGGAAAATTTCATGACATTGCAAGAATGTCACATTTGTTACAAAGTTTTCAACTTTAAGCAATGCTTAAAAAATTAAGCTATTTTTAATCTTGACTCAAGTTTCTAATCAACTTCATGCTATGATACCCTTCACGCCTCATTAAGTCTACATGTTCCACATTATGCCTTCACATGATTCATAACCAAATAAGCCTACAAACATCCAAGGAAAACAATTAAGATTTAATGCAACATTGTAACATTTCAAGATCAAGACCATTAGTGCTTAGCCATGGGAAATTTCAAGGCAATTTCAATGTGATCTAAAACAGCCCCATGACCAACTAATTCCCAATCAAACAAACCATGTCACAAAACTTGAGGGACTAGATCATGTTGGTTTACATACATACCAAAATTTAGATTTTCAAAATTTTGTCAAGGGGAGAAGCATGGACCACAAGGACAACCCAAGAACAAGTGAATAAAGGAGAGCAATACAGAAAAAACAACACTAGGAAAGTGCAACAGCAAATGCAGAAAAGCAGCATGCTAGAAATAGAAAGAAATGGGGTTGCACCAAGAAAGTGGTAATAAGCATTTCCAAATATAGAAATTCTGAAACTTGAAGCATATGCAAACTCAATTACTTTGGTACAACAACAAAAGTAGGATTTCTGAAAATGGAAAGAAAGAGAGTGACATCAAGAAAGTGGTAAAAGGTATTCCTCAATGAAGAAATCTGAAGTTTTTGGAACAAGTGAAAACCCTAATGTTTTGGGCATAAGAAGACGAGCAGTAGTAGGAGGAGGGGATAGAGAGCAAGAGATAGAAAAAATCGAAACCAGAAAAAAAATAGGAGAGAAAAGTGACATTGAGAATAAGAGGGTTTTAAAAAAGAAAAACAGAAAAGAGATATTGAAACATAGAGTGAAAGAAGAAATACATCCAACAAAACAACAATGGTGATTAGAAAGAGAATAGCAACTCTTGGGTATCCATTTCTTTGAACCTTACTCTCTTTATATTTCATTGTATATACTTTTGTATGCTTGCATGGTTGTTGCACACTTTATCTTTGTTGTTAGTTAGGATAGTATTTGTGGATACATATGTTTTTAATGAGGGTTTAAGAGTGATTTAGTTATTGTAAAAAAACAAGAGTGAATTTTGTAGAGAGAGA